GATCAGTTATTGCTGGCCCTGTTTCAACCGAGTCTACATCTGAACTACCCGGTACAGGCATTGAATTCACAATTAGAAAACAGATATTTATGGGTAGACAGGTAGACAGATAGACACATATTGACAATGATTCAAAGACAGCTAGGTGGAGTGAATGTATTCTTAAAAATTAAAAAAAAAAAACAATAAAAAAGAATGACTTTTCAGTGATATTTGAACAAATCTCTCTTGCTGGTTACGACAGCTCTTTGTTAAATTCTTTTGCAGCTGCGTTAAAGACAATTAGGTATTCTTTCCTTTTAAGTTTTTTATTATTATCTGTATTTAGTTGGAAGGAGGGAAGTAACTGGTCCAGTTTCGGTCAAATTAAACCAAAAATGTGGTTATGTTCTCACCAAAATGTTTCAGAATTAAAGAGGATGAACAAAAAACAAATAAATAAAATTAAGAAAATCAGATGATATTTACATATTCAAAGAAATATCGGAACAGGCTATATAGAGTTGGTTGATTTAACGATATAGTAAGAAAGAAAGAAAGAAAATGAAAAAACAAGAAAGAAAGAAAATGAAAGAAAATGAAAAAAGAGAGAGAAAATAAAAAAGAGAAAGAAAGAAAGAAAGAAAATAAAAAAGAAAGAAAGGAAATAAAAAAGAAAAAGAAAATGAAAAAGACAAAGTAAAGAGAAAAGAGAAAGAAAGAAAATGAAAGAAAGAAAAAAGAAAGAAACAGAAGACGAAATAAAGCAAGAAAACTAAAGCAAGGAAAAGAAAGAGAAAGAAAAAAAAGGAAAGGACAAGAAAGAAAGAGAAAACAAAAGGGAAAAAAGAAAGGAAAACGATAAAATGTGGCGAAATATAAAGATTTAGTACGGAGGAAGGAGAAATCGGAGTGCTATAAAAAATAGTCAAGGCAAAGTGGAAAACAAGAAGAAAAGATGAAACGAAATAAAAAAAAAAGATGAGAACGAGTAGAGAAAGAGGAATAGCAAAAATGAAAGAAATAAGAAAAAAAGCAAGAATTTTAAATGGGAAAGAAAAATGAAAAAAGAAAAGTGAAACCAGAAAAAATGTCAAGAAATTCCCGAGAAGTAAAAATAAATGAAAGAAAAGACGATATTTGAAAAAGGAAAGATTGCTAAAACCTCAAGGTATGTATACCCTTATTCAATTTCATGAAACCTTTTACTTTTCATTAATCCATATTGCGTAGTGTCCATTTTACTTTGAAAACAACCCACATTTCTTTCCCTCCCCTAAGAGCAAAAAAAGAAAGGAAGGATTCATTAAACAAATATGGTCATCATTAAAAGCAGTTCTCACATTTTGTGCGGGCAGCTTCACAACGAACGGGTTGGCGGCATTTAACGTTTACATATTTACCAGTGTATCCATGCCATCAAAATGGCGACAATTGTTAGAAAGATTTAATAGTGAGATACAATGAAACAAACGTCTTGAAACAATGTATTGATATTCAATAAAGCGGAGATGAAGAATTTACAACTAAAATAGATACCAATGAACCATTTAATTCAGTCATTCGACATCTTTTTTTTTTAAAGTTTGGGGCGCACTTGAAATCCTACCAATAATTGTAGGCACACTGTATAAAAATTTCGGAAAAATATGTTATAATGAAATCAAATATTGCAGAAAAGAAATAATGCAATAAATTATATAAAATGAAAGTTTATTCATTCTTGTGTTCATGAGAAACACGAGTCTGATGCGTCTTAGAGATTTCTTCAATGATTGGGCGTATATTTGAAAGGGAAACTCTCATTTCTTCCTCAATACATTGAAGAACTCCTCTCTTTTTGTACTTAATTTTGGTGAGAGCGGAAAATCCTAATTCACATAAATGTGAACGAGACGGGTACTGCAATACAATAAAGTAAATATATTTATTACTTATATTTGGACACATATTTCTCTGGAATGCCAGGGCCCACCTAGACATCTTCGAGGGCGCACTAGAGCGCCCACACACACCATTTGAGAAACAATGATTTAATCTGTTCCCAATATATATATATATATATATATATATATATATATATATATATAATATAATATAAAAGGCTCAAACACTAATATTCTATGGTTATAATTTTTTACATTGGAATCGTAATCACGACCTACAAATTCAAACTTACTCTGTCCTGGACATTGAGTTCTACCTAGATTTTATCCTCTTGGAATATATATATATATATAAACTCGTTGAATGGTATCTATGCTTCATTGATTACTCCTGGTATTATATAAATCGCTTTTTACGCAAAATCTTTTCAATTTACACATTTTATACTTTTAATATAACAGTGAAAAGGAAATATCTCTCGGAAGAAGAAAAAAATGATTAGAAACAACGACAAAGGCGTCAACAAGAAAGCCTATTTTTTGATCAAGTTGAAGCAATATGACAAAGTTATCTGAGTACCTCACATGGAAAACTTGAACGAATTAGACTGCACTCTAAAAAACGTAGGAGAAAAGAACTGATTAATTGAACAGTTCATTTTGATCGGAAAGTAATTTTGTCCAAAGGCAGATAAATATTTTATTTGAATAGATTATTAAAGCGACTAAGCGAAGTAATGACTGTATAAATTTGCTAACATGTTGATTTATCTCCCTTCACACTACAGATGTGACAGGAAATATATAAATATATAGATTCTGATAATTATTACATAGTCTGATGATTTTTATTTATTTTATTCTTATTATTTTATCATACATCGAAAATGAAACTAGGATAAGGGAGGTAACTGAAGAGTCACTAATTTTTCTCATCCGTTTGTCGCTAAATTTCTCCCCTTTTGTCGTCTGGTCCATTAATTCTGATTGCCTGATGGCGCAAAATGAAGAAAATTAGTACAAAATGAAAGTTTTTTTTTTTTTTTTATCGATTTCTCCTGGGTTTATTCTTTTCAGGGGAGGAGGTAATTTTGTCGGAACGGTTTCCCCGCCACCCACCTCTAAAGGGAAATTTCGGAAAAAACATTTTTTTATTAATTGTCAGATATCGAAAGGGGGTAGCTAAGAGAATGATCAGAGAGAGAGTGAGAGAGACGAGAGAAATGACAGAGAGAGATAGAGAATGGATCAAAGCATAATGACAGAAAAAATGAAGAGAAAAGCCAAAGAATGAGAGAGAGAGAGAGAGAGAGTGAAGGGGAGAGAGAGAGAGAGTGAAGGGGAGAGAGAGAGAGAGTGAAGGGGAGAGAGAGAGAGTGAAGGGGAGGGAGAGAGAGAAGGGAAAAGCCAGAGAGAGAGAGAGAAGGGAAAAGCCAGAGAGAGAGAGAGAGAGGGAAAAGCCAGAGAGAGAGAGAGAGAGTGAAGGGAAAAGCCAGAGAGAGAGAGAGAGAGAGAGAGTGAAGGGAAAAGCCAGAGAGAGAGAGAGAGAGTGAGGGAAAAGCCAGAGAGACAGAGAATGTGAAGAGAAACGAAAGAGAATGAGGGAGTGAAGAGAAAAGAAAGAGGGAGTGAAGAGAAAAGAAAGAGGGAGTGAAGAGAAAAGAAAGTGAAGGGAGAAAGAGGGAGAAGAGAAAAGAAGGAGGAAGAGAAAAGAAAGAGGGAGGAAGAGAAAAGAAAGAGGGAGTGAAGAGAAAGAAAGAGAAAGAGGAAGAGAAAAGAAAGAGAAAGAGGGAGTGAAGAGAAAAGAAAGAGGGAGTGAAGAGAAAAGAAAGAGGGAGTGAAGAGAAAAGAAAGAGGGAGTGAAGAGAAAAGAAAGAGGGAGTGAAGAGAAAAGAAAGAGAGAGTGAAGAGAAAAGAAAGAGGGAGTGAAGAGAAAAGAAAGAGGGAGTGAAGAGAAAAGAAAGAGGGAGTGAAGAGAAAAGAAAGAAGGAGTGAAGAGAAAAGAAAGAGAAAGAGGGAGTGAAGAGAAAAGAAAGAGAAAGAGGGAGTGAAGAGAAAAGAAAGAGAAAGAGGGAGTGAAGAGAAAAGCCAGAGAGAGAGAGAGAGAGGATAAAAGAGGAATGCAAGAGAGAGGGAGAGGATAAAAGAGAAATGCCAGAGAGAGAGAGAGAGAGGACAATGGAGGAATGCCAGAGAGAGAGGATAAAAGAGGAATGCCAGAGAGAGAGGATAAAAGAGGAATGCCAGAGAGAGAGGATAAAAGAGGAATGCCAGAGAGAGAGGATAAAAGAGGAATGCCAGAGAGAGAGGATAAAAGAGGAATGCCAGAGAGAGAGGATAAAAGAGGAATGCCAGAGAGAGAGAGAGAGAGAGAGAGGATAAAAGAGGAATGCCAGAAAGAGAGAGAGAGAGAGGATAATAGGGAAATGCCAGAGAGAGAGAGAGAGGATAATAGGGAAATGCCAGAGAGAGAGAATAAAAGAGAGAAATGCCAGAGAGAGAGAGAGAGAATAAAAGAGAGAAATGCCAGAGAGAGAGAATAAAAGAGAGAAATGCCAGAGAGAGAGAGAGAGAAAGAGAGGATAAAAAGAGAAATGACAGAAAGTTAGAGAAAGAAAAGATCAAAGAGAGAGAGAGAGAGAGAGAGAGAGAGAGAAGTGAGTTGTAGAATTGAAAGATGAAAGATATTCGCAGGTGGATGGAGATAAATTATTTCAAAAAATCTGGAAGCTGCCAAAAACATCGACGTCGTTAATTTTGGCAATGATCGTTTGACCAATGGAGAAAAAAAAAAAAAGAAAAAAGAAAAAAAAAACCCTGAAAGACGTACCATTACTAAAATTGCGCCATAATGTTGGCCAATTTTGTTTATATTTAGCCCCAACTTCATTTTTCTTCTTTATATCCCGCATCAAATTGGTCAAAGACGAGAATTGGATCCAATTAACTATTTCAGAACGGGAGAGTAAATGGGCGGGGAAGAATTCGGCCCCTCAGAAGGATTTAACAGATGTATCTAAAACATCAAGACGGTGGATTAATGCCTTGTGTTCTGCATGATCTTGCGGGTTTGGGCCCAGGGCAAAGTACCCTTTTACATTTAATGTCAGTCTTGAGCAGACAGAATCGGCGTGTTTACAAGTCATGAAGTTTTCTTTCTTCAGAAAACTTTAAGAGATAGATATGAACAGACACATTGGCAAGCAAGGGGGGGGGGGCGTCACCTAGTTAAAGAGAATGAGAACACTGGGAGGAACCGGAAATCTAATCCTAAACAGGAAACAATGGATAAACATCTATTCTTTTTTCAAAAGAGTGAGGAGGAGAGCGAACTGGACGATAGACGAACTTATGTACTCCTATGAACTTGCCTGGATACTCTCAATCTCTTTCTCTCTCTTTGTCACTTCCGACTAAGTTTATTGAAACACGCATTCTTAGCTAGAAATTATTTTAACATTTCTCCAGCAATATCTTCTTTTTTTTTTTTTTTTAAAATACAACTGTGGTTTATTTTTACGGCCATATTAACTATTAACCTTATGGCCGTCAAGAACGAAAATGCCTCATTAGTCACTTAATTGTAGTGGAAAATTTCGTCATGTCAATAAAATAGAGCCGCCATTTTTATTTTGAAGAGTTTTTTTTTCCTTTGTTTTGTTTTTTAATTTTTATTTTACTTAAACATTGTGAGGGTTATTGTGATTTACGACTGAACACTTTCAAATAATTAGAAAGTGATTCCTGTAATGTAATTTTTGCCCAAATACTAAACGGGTCGTTGCTGGTAATATGACTTTGTGTTATGCCATTTCCAAGTAGCGAATGGTTTAGTGAATTGATATTGTGAATTGATCGTTTTGATTTGTAAAACTTGTGTAATATCTCCCAAATTTTAAGATTTAATTTAAAAAAAGGAAATATTCTCTGAAAAACATATTCTAAAATAATTTGTTAATATTACTTGAAATTATGTCGAGGGAACAATATTATTATAAAATTTTACTAGGTTTTCTTTCATTTTTATTTCACTTGAATTTTACTGCAACTTCCATACATAAGTAGAGAATATAGCTATATGGCTAAATTTGAATGACTTCTGCTGATTAGCCATCTTAGATGAAGCATTGTCAATTATTATTCATTTTTCACTAGTATTTCTTTCATCTTCATTTCTCTTGCTTTTTATTGCAACTGCCATCCATAAAAAGTAGAAGTAGAGAATATAGCTATATGGCTAAATTTGAATGACTCCTGCTGGTTAGCCTTCTTAGATGAAGCATTGTCAATTATTATTCATTTTTCACTAGTATTTCTTTCATCTTCATTTCTCTTGCTTTTTATTGCAACTCCCATCCATAAGAAGTAGAAGTAGAGAATATAGCTATATGGCTAAATTTGAATGACTCCTGCTGGTTAGCCTTCTTAGATGAAGCATTGTCAATTATTATTCATTTTTCACTAGTATTTCTTTCATCTTCATTTCTCTTGCTTTTTATTGCAACTCCCATCCATAAGAAGTAGAAGTAGAGAATATAGCTATATGGCTAAATTTGAATGACTTCTGCTGATTAGCCTTCTTAGATGAAGCATTGTCAATTATTATTCATTTTTCACTAGTATTTCTTTCATCTTCATTTCTCTTGATTTTTATTGCAACTCCCATCCATAAGAAGTAGAAGTAGAGAATATAGCTATATGGCTAAATTTGAATGACTCCTGCTGGTTAGCCTTCTTAGATGAAGCATTGGCAATTATTATTCATTTTTGGGTGGTTCCCAACCGAAGCTAGAATGGCTAATCTACTCTGCTATTAACACTTAGCTGCGTTTATATCACGGTTTACCCATTTGATGAAACATAATGATTGGATAAGCTGCGTACGAGTTCTAAGACAATACAATGGGCGACGGAAATAACCGCTAATGCCAGGTTAAATATTTGAGCTTAAGAACTTCAACTTCATCTTGCAATAACAACCATAGGTATAAATACAAGTCATTATCTGAAGAAGTAAGAGGGTACAAATGAAAAGATTTAAGACTGACAAGTTTTTCTATTTCACGGAAGCAAACATTAAAAACATGAAAGCATATTTTTTTCTCGCTGAAACCAAACAGTGTATCTGATACGTCTTTTTCGTCATTCATTATTTATGAGGTTGGCAGGGTGTAACGTCCGCGCTAAGTAACGAAAGGACAAGCAGAATTATATAATAATAATAATAATAATAATGTGGTAAAAATAAAGAAAAATAAACAGAGGCACAAAAGAAAGAAAAGAGAAAATCGAAAGCAAGACCTGGAAAAAATAAGAAAGTGAAATAAAATATGAAAATGGCGGACGGAGAAAGAAGAGAAAAGGAAGAAGAGAAAAGAAAGAAAGAAGAGAAAAAGGAAGAAAGATAAAGGAAGAAAGATAAAGGAAGAAAGATAAAGGAAGAAAGATAAAGGAAGAAAGATAAAGGAAGAAAGATAAAGGAAGAAAGATAAAGGAAGAAAGATAAAGGAAGAAAGAAAAAGAAAGAAAAAGGAAGAAAGAAAAAGAAAGAAAAAGGAAGAAAGAAAGAAAAGAAAAAGAAAGAAAAAAAAAGAAAGAAAAAGAAAGAAAGAAAAGAAAGAAAGAAAAGAAAGAAAGAAAAAGGAAGAAAAAAAAAAAAAAAGAAAAAGGAAGAAAGAAAAAGAAAGAAACAAAGAGGAAATAGAAACAAAGAGGAAATAGAAAGAAAGAAAGAGGAAATAGAAAGAAAGAAAGAGGAAATAGAAAGAAAGAAAGAGGAAATAGAAACAAAGAAAGAGGAAATAGAAACAAAGAGAGAGGAAATAGAAACAAAGAGAGAGGAAATAGAAACAAAGAGAGAGGAAATAGAAAGAAAGAGGGAGAAAAGGAAAGAACGAAAAAAGGATGAAAAAGAAAGAAAGAGAAAAAAGAAAGAAAGAGAAAAAAGAAAGAAAGAAAGAGAAAAGAAAAAGAAGCAGCGATAAAGAAAAAGACAATTACGGAATTGTTAGTTGAAAAAGACGAAATAGAAAGGAAGATAAAAAGGAAAAGAAAATTTCCGGAAAATTTAAAAACATATATTTTTGTATTTTTCCCTGGGAATCCAATTTGACTTATTGAAAATATCAGTGGCAATCTTTAAAAAAAAAAAAAAAATTCTCATGAAAAAATAACCCCAATAAAAAAACTCACTTTTTTTTTTATCGGTCTAAAAAAAATTAAGAAAACAATTCACGATGGTCTGTCAACAAGAATTGAAAAAAATAAAATGAATAACGCTTGGAAGGACGAAAAAAAAATGGAAGCGCATTTGCATTTGGTTTTAAATCATAATTATTTTATTTAATTTTTTTTATTCGTTTTTAGCATTTGTGGGATTGGGTTAGAGTTGGTGACGTCAATTACTTTTGTTCCATTTCTGACAGTTAGTCTGTCTGTCTACTTCTCACTGACCCCGCCCTTTTCCTAAGTGTATATCGGCGCGTTTTGATATCTGGCAAAAAGATTCTCGGCATACCGAATTCAAATTCTAAAACACTTAAGATACACACACACTCTCTCTCTCTCCTTCTCTCTCACAAACACACACATTCTCTCTCTCTCTCTCTCTCTATATATATATATATATATATATATATATATATATATATATGTGTGTGTGTGTGTGTCTACATATAGATACTACATTATTTAATGGATAGGTAAATAGGCAGCCGTACAGTAAAACGACGTCATTCGTGGATCGCTGAACGCGGTTTCAGTTATCCACGGTTGGACCACTCTAGGAAAACTTATTTTCAAATGTTTTATTCAACCGAAAAAAAACAAAAAAACCTTGAAATATACACTTGATAGAATTTATATTATAAGCAAAAACAAACAGAATGCCAATGTTTAACAACCCCCCACACCAACGGAAAAAAAAGGATTTGAAAATGCCAGGATTTCGCTTGACAACACTCTTACGCTATACTTCTTCGGCATTTTTCTTTTTAATTTTAAAAAGCTATTTTTAGAAGTTTAATAAAATTGGATTTATATCCATCTATATTTCTGGGATGACGTATTGTAATTATTTACACTATTTACATTGTTCGGATTGTTGTCCTCATCTTTGTTGGCATATCCACGATGTTTAGACCATTGTGCGATCTGGCCTTCTTCAGGATCTGTCTATATTTCTGAGATGAGGTATTGTAATTATTTACACTATTTACATTGTTCGGACTTTTGTCCACATCTTCGTTGGCATATCCACAATGTTTCAGCTATTGCACGCTCTGGCCTTCTTCAGGTTTCCGCCCAGGATACATGTCCCAGTGGATAAAAGTATTCGTTGAAGTAATCCAGTGACTTGAGCCAAAGAGATGTGAGTTCAATACCTGGCCACAGCAGAGGTGAACAAAAACCTGGAGAGTTGAGTTGCTAAGGGGAAATAACTGAAACTGAAATATTCAGAAGAGGCATGGCACGTGGAACTAGAACGATCTACTCCAGTAAATGAAATAAAGGCTTTGGTTTGAAATTCCAATTACCCGAAGAAGGCCGGAGCGTAGAACGACCGAAACATCTTGGATATGACAACAAAGATAAGGACAACAGTTTGAACAATGTAAATTATATAAAAAGACATTCAGCATTTAAGGTTTCTTTTTGTGAATTGTAGTAAAAGACAAACCCCTACTTTAAAGAGTGATTTGGGGGATTTAAATGTCGTCGTATACGCGGAAATATACGGTATTTATTTGTGTACAAATATACATGCATTTAGTCGATGTATCTGGTTTTAAACATATATAAGTATTTAAGTAAATGCTCTGTTTATAATAAACAGTATTAAATAACATTTACCGGCCTGAATGTCCGAGAAATTTTCATAGAAAATATTCGTCCTTTGACAGGATTCGAACCTGCATCCTATACGGAACCGTTATTTACGCTGACGTGCCTTGACCGCTCGGCCACAAAGGATCGTTCGGCTGGCAAGGTGGAATTTACTTCTTATAAACTTCCTTGCCAACCGTTAAACATAAAAATGTCTTTAATAAATAAATTGTCGGACTTTGTCCATTTCTTAATATATATAAGTAAGTTTATGTATCTGTCTATATTTCTGTGGATGAGGTATTGTAATTATTTAGACTATTTACCTTATTTGAACTCTTTTCCTCACCCGTGTTTCCATATTCACGTTTCGGTGGTGAATGGAATTTCGAACTGAACCCTTTATTATGTCCACCGGAGTACATTGTTCTAACTCCTCGTGCCATACCTCTTCCGGATGTTTCAGTAGCAGTTATCTACCTTTTTGTGATGTCAACGATCAATCGTTGACACTTTTGTCAATGCCAACGAACACTCGTTGCCACTTTTGTAATGTCAACGGATATTCGTTGTCACTTTCGTAATGCTCGTTGTAGTAGAGACTTTGTAATCGTAGATATAACTATAGTAACGCCATTGAACAATACTGGTGTCAGACGCCTTCGAATAATCTCGCACTAATAGTACCTGCTCGATAACACTCGCTCAAATAGTAATCCGTATATTGATCCAAATAGAGGAATAGTATAGTGAATAGAGTAGAGAATAGCGGTCCGTATATTAATAGAGGATAGAGTAGAAATAACGATCTATTAGTAATAGAGAATAGACTAGAAATGGCGATCGTTAGTCATCAAGCTAATTCCGTTTCCTCTATGGTCACGTGGTCTACTTAATTCAAAAATGGGACCGTCTGTGTTTGCTCACTGGCGATCTATGTTCAAACTCAAGTGTCGGCAGTGACACTTTATTTCTAAATAACATACCATTAACTCAGCTCTCCAAGGTTTTGTACACTTCTGCAGGACGACCTTCAAAAGTGATTCCACACTTCGCAGATACCTCTTCCGAGTAATACCACCACTTGAGGAGAACATTATCAAGGACTGCGTATACGCCATCCTATGCAGTTGCGGTAAGAAATATAAAGGCGAAACAGACTGTCTGCCAAAGATTAGACTGTAGGAACACCATAACATGAGGGGAAATAGAAAAATCAGGCGTAGTTGATAACATTATGGAGGGGAAAGTAAGATCAGCCTCAACAGACAGAGAACATCACTGGAAAATACGAAAACTTAAGGAATGAGCGCATATGTTAGGTCACAAAAAGCCAACCAAGTATAGAAATGAATATAATATGGAAACCAGTAAAAAAAAAAAAAAGAGTGTCACAGAAGCACAACAATAACAAAAATCGTTATATGAGCTGTGGTAAAAAAATGTGAATGAGATATTAGGTTTATAAGTCCCCCAAATACACTTATTGATTTTGCCAAGGCCTAGCGAATTAAAACGTTGTTTGAGTAATACAAGTGACTTGACTCAAAGAGTTGTTAGTTCAATACATGGCCACAATAGAGGGAACAAAAACTTGGAGATTTCAGTCATTAAACGGAATTGACTGAAACCCCGAGAAACTGAGACACCCACATAACCTATTAATTTCCACCATAATATCTGACAGAGAACATCACTGAAAAATACGAAAACTTAAAGAATCAGCACATATGCTAGGCCACAAAAATCTCCTGAGCCGGCCAAGCATAGAAATGAATACAATATGGGAACCAGTAATATAGAGAGCTAGAGAAAAACAATAACAACAAAATTGTAATATGAGCTCTGGTAAAAACGATAAACAGTTTAACATAGGTGTCGGCAATCTACGGCATGCGGCCGCAAATCCCATCACGAAGTCCGAACCAATAACTACGACGACGCAAAGAAGATATTTAGTTGTTTCAATTTTAATATATACTAAAGTATATATCCTATATATTACTATATAAAATAAAGCTCCTCGGTGTGGTGTAATGGTTAGCAAGGTTGTCTGGCTAGATCAATTACGACTGAGTAGTGAGTTCGATCCTCACTGGGTGTCCCATACTTTCGGCCTTGTGCCACATCTAAGCTGTGCTTAGAAAATCCTTTTGGGTACCTCGAGGTGATGTAATGGTTAGCAAGCTTGTCTCGCCAGAACAATTGCAACTGGGTAGAGAGTTCGATCCTCACTGGGTGCCATTACTTTCGGTTTTGTGCCACATCTGAGTTACGCTTGGAAAATCACTACTATATAAAATATATTGTAGAACAAGTATATTGACCTTGACTTGTATAAAAATACGTATGCTGTTGGCAGACTGAAATGACTGCACAAAGTCCGAACCAATAACTACTACAATGCAAAAAAGATATTTAGCTGTTTCAATTTTAATATATACTAAAATATATACACTGTATATTACTATATAAAATCTATTGTAGAACAGGTATATTGACCTTGACTTGTATAAAAATATGTATGCTGTTGACACACTGAATGATTTTAAAACCTTAAGTCGGCACATAGCAAAAGGTTGCCGACTTCTGGTCTAACAGCTAAATAGTGTTTAACATTTTTGCTGTCAGATCTCGAGAAAAATATATATATATAATTCAGATGTTCATAAACTATTTTAACCCTTTTGCTGTGGAAAGCGCATATATCCGCTCAAAATGTTATTACCGTTAACTGTGGATACACCCAACATCATTAAAAACAAGCGGATATTTTTGTGTTTTGCTGGATAATTAACACCATTACCGGAATGACCATGAAATTTAATTACGCAGTGAAAGGGTTAATGAATTTAGGTGGCGAAAACAAATAAATGAAATTCCTGCAATTTTTTTTCTAAGTTTAAAATTACAGTTACTCTAGTTTATGTTTTTTTTTTAAAATTTATTTTCTTGTTCAAAGATTTTTTTTTATTTTCTATTTATTTATTTATTCATCGTTATTCCCCAAACAAGGCAGAAATGTTATTAAAACACAAGGGGTCAAAGGGCGAGGAAGAATTAAGAACAAAAACATTAATAATGAACGGGAAGAAGAAAGAGTAATCAAGAGGACAACAGAGAGCGATTGACATTGCATTTAAATCTGTTTAATTAAATTTTCTTAAAATTATACCAAATTATTTAAACAGATTAAAAAAAAATATTATTATTAATGTAGACATTAAAAATTATTATTGTTATTATTATAATTATCAATACAGACATTAAAAAGTTATTATTTTATTTTTTAAATCAGTATCACCGAAAGTAAGGCAATAAAGCCACTAAGACACAAGGGGGTTAGAGGGTGTGTAAGAATTAGGAACAGAAACAGTAAAGATGAGCGGAAAGCGAAGAGAATAATCAGGAGGATAGTAGATAACGATTGACACTGCATTTAAATTTTAACAGATTAATGTTGAGTGGAAAGCATGGAGCCGGAACGGAGTTCCACAAGCGAGAAGTGCGAGAGAAGAAACTGTTAGCCTAGAATTTGCGGTTACATCTACCCAGATCAGCTCTAAATTGATAAGATTTTGATGCCATTTTGATAATTTTATATTAAATTCTATAATTTAGCAATTAAAAAAAAATGTGTTCATAAAATATGGAAGCAAAATAATGTTTTCCATAGACTTAAAACTGTTTTTATACGGTAAACACTACATTACCGTTGGCTCACATATAGTGATAAACTTGTAAATATAAAATTATTATTGTAAATATAAAATTATTATTGTGTTCTTAAAGGTAAAGTTTGGGCCGCCATGAATAAAATTGATGTAATCTGGAAATCTGATCTACCAGACAACTTTAAGCGGGGATTCTTTCGCGCCACTGTAAATATGAAGAGACTGAGATAGATAGATAGATAAGAAGAGACTGAGATAGATAGATAGATAAGAAGAGACTGAGATAGATAGATAGATAAGAAGAGACTGAGATAGATAGATAGATAAGAAGAGACTGAGATAGATAGATAGATAAGAAGAGACTGAGATAGATAGATAGATAAGAAGAGACTGAGATAGATAGATAGATAAGAAGAGACTGAGATAGATAGATAGATAGATAAGATAGATAGATAGATAAGAAGAGACTGAGATAGATAAGAAGAGACTGAGATAGATAAGAAGAGACTGAGATAGATAGATAAGAAGAGACTGAGATAGATAGATAAGAAGAGACTGAGATAGATAGATAAGAAGAGACTGAGATAGATAGATAGATAAGAAGAGAGATAGATAGATAAGAAGAGATAGATAGATAAGAAGAGACTGAGATAGATAGATAGATAGATAGATAGATAAGAAGAGACTGAGATAGATAGATAGATAGATAGATAGATAGATAAGAAGAGACTGAGATAGATAACTACATAGATATAAAGAGCTTGGAATAGATAGTGTTATATAGGAATGAAGTGTGGCTGCCGGCACTCGAGTTTGAACATAGACCGCCAGAGAGCAAAAAAAAAAAAAAGATTCCATTATTGAATTAAGTAGACTACGTGACCATAAAAGAAACGCATATAAGGGAGGCAGCGTGACGTCTAAATGATCGTCATTTCTATTCTATCCTCTATTAGTATACGGTTTGCTGTTCTCTACTCTATTCATGATACGGATGACTATTCGAGCGAATATTATCGAGCAAATACTGTTAGTGCGAGTGTTATTCGAAGGCGTCTGACACCAGCATTGCTCAACGGCGTTACTATAGTTGTATCTGCGATTACAAAGTCTCTACTACAATGAGCATTACAAAAGTGACAACGAGTATTCGTTGACATTAAAAAAGATAGATAAATAGGAAGAGACTAGGATAGATAGATAGATAGATAGATAGATAGGAAGAGACTAAGATAGGAAGAAACTAAAATAGATAGATAGATAGATAGAAAGAGGCTAAGAGATAGGTAGATAGAAAGAGGCTAAGAGATAGGTAGATAGAAAGAGGCTAAGATAGGTAGATAGATAAGAAGAGGCTAAGATAAGAAGAAACCAAGACAGATAGGAAGAGACGAAGAGATAGAAAAAGGCTAAGATAGATAGGAAGAGACTGAGATACACAGATAATGAACTTAGATAATGAACAGACTTTAATAGATAGATAGACAGACAGATAGAACATTGTTTTCAGATAGGGACAGTGAGATAGAAACAAGTGAATGAGAACAAATAGAATGAGACTGAAATGGATAAAGGAGGAAACAAATGAACGAGAAAGAGTAAGAAATGAAGACGAGCTGTAAGAATTCCAAAGTTGGAGAAAGAAGGCAAATAAGAAATGGAACCGATAAAATAGAAAAAAAAATCCCCCCAAAAAAACCCCGACGTCTTTAAAAGGAACGAGGTAATCTTTTAAAGAAAATGAGTCGAGAAAATTGTTCGTCGCTCAGAACACCCTGCATTTGAAATCTGACTCAGACGTTCAAGTTGAAAAAAAAATTACTCTAAATGTTCTATTAAACGGGAAAATAAAAACAAAAATTATATATATATATATATATATATATATATATATATATATATATATGTCAAGAAAACATTTTTACAGTGAATTGTGGACGAGAGTGATTTTCTTGTCAGTGAATTTAACTACATTCTCTACAAATCTAGTCACACTGTTTTTTTTCCTTTTCGACGTTTTCGAAAAATGTTGTTATTCATCTTTTTGCATGTTCACGCTATATGCGTGGGCAATTACCACTAAAGATTGGTTGAGATCATTTCTCCTCAAATCTCCAGCACCTTCCCCAGTAAGGTCTATGCCAATACGCCAACAATAATTCAACAGCTGAAGAATGAGATAAGGCATATTGGTGAGATCGATGATCAACTATGCAGAGAATTCATCAAAATTTTTGACCATCGAGTGGAGGTGTGCCGCTGAAGTCTTGGCGGACATTTAGGCGATATTATTTTTCACGCATAACTGCCATGAATTAAATAATATGATCCAATAGAAAAATAAATGAATTTTCACCAATAATATTGATTTATTTACTTTTGACTTTGATACGTCTTAATGAAACACCATATATGTTCCAATGGTTGTCATAGCCGGTGGAGATAGTTGGGACAAACACACTATAAAATGCTTCCGTGGCATGCATCTCAAACATCGTATGAAAAAAATGGCTATTATTACTATTATTTTATTTCCTTTGATTTCTGGTGTGAACACATTTCTTTCCGGATCCCGCCCAGAGACCTAGGATTAGAAATGGCATCATGATACTTTCCACTGAAAAAAACAAAACAAAACAAAAAAAACATATTTTACATAGATAAAGCCCTTCGTAAGGTGTGGGCTGAACTCGTGAGGACATTTCTTTAAGGCATGGGCTTCCACGTATCCCCTCAATTAGTCTACTGGAATCTTTTCCTACGAATCCGAGGGCTCCAACTACAACAGGGATTGTTGATGTTCCCATATGCCACATTTTTTAATTATCATCATCATCATCATCGTCATCATTATTATATATTATTATTGTCATGATTCAGGCTGATGCTTTGGGTAGATACGGAAAAATTGAGAATATGCATTAAAAGTTATTATTTTGTGTTTCTCTTCCTTACTGTTTATTTATATCTTTCTTTTTGTCGTTATCGAAAAACTGTGAAATTCAAAATAGCATTTACTGACAAGAGAAAAGGGTAGCTGGATTATTAGAGTTTTTTTTTATCAATTTCTTTTAAGGACAAATAAAAAAAATGTGACAGAGACAAGCGAAGAAAATATCGGGCTTTGAAGAAAATTAAACATAAAAATAAAATTTTTAAAAAAATATGAAAACGAGGCGAAAAAAAACATGGAAGAAACCTCAAATATTGCAAGTAAAACTAAAAATTACAGGATACATTTTGCAGATTAAATATATCACAATACAACGCAAAAAGAAAAAAAAAATAAGATGCAGGATTTTTTAAAATGCATGTGTCCAAAACCTATATCCCACACACAGTGTCACAGAAAATTTCCGACAGCTTAAAAGACAAAATGGTTTTATTAAACAAATAAATAAATATACAAAAAACTGAAATAAAAAAAAGTATTTATCTATGTGTCGTGCGTTGTTCTAAAATACGTCATCAGTAGTCAGCTTCCGCCTGTCTGTCTCTTATACACTTTAAGCCTCTTTTCCTTAACATATGTATATAGATATATATAAAACCTTGTGTAAAATGAAACAAAACCAATAATTCTGTTAATATTTACTTTTTTTTTGTATTTTCTGAATGAAAGATGACCCATTGCACACGTTAGTACTACGTATGTCCATTCCACGAAGTCGTTCCTTACAGATTGACCACAGATTCTCAACTGGATTTACATCAAGAGAGTTTCCGAGTCAGTCGATAGTAAAGAGTGTTTCATTAAGACGGATCAAAGTCAACAGTAAATAAATACACAACTAAAAAAAGGATTTATCCATGTGTCCTACTGCGTTGTTCTCTAACACGTCAGCAGTAGTCAACTTCCGCCTGTCTGTCTCTTAAACACTTTAAACCTCTTTTACTTAACTATATATATATATATATATATATATATATATATATATATATATATATATATCCTTGTGCAAATTAATTGAAGAAAAACGAATAATTCTGTCAATATTTACGTTTTTATTTTTATTTTTCCAATGAAAGTTGACCCAGTGTACATGTTAGTACATCGTATGTTTATTCCACGAAGTCTTTCCTTGGAGATTGACCACGGATTTAAATCAGTAGAGTTTCAGAGCCAGTGGATGGTACTCTGATTTGTGCACTGTTAAGGCTTGCTAGTGTGTTCCTGCAGCATTACAAATTTTGTACTTCCTTGGAATAACGTTCATCGCAGACAATGGCCATATGACAACTAATCGACAGTCCAGACAATAGTGTTAAGGCATGATGAAAATCTGATGCAATCACGGCTGACGCAATATCTTTCAAAGCCAAACAAATTTCATCATACACCCCGAAAACAGATTCATATTACTGCACATCACTGCAAATGACTTAATCTGAGGAAAAAATAGAAATCGATTACACCCTGTCACTCCACTGGGTCTAAATCTTACCGTATGGTGAAAGAAAGGAAACTTAAGTGGTTGTTTCAATTAATTTGCACTATTATCATCAAATGACTTTAGGCAATCTAAAATACATGAACTGTACAGCTCTCGCCAAAAATTTCTGGAAATTAAAGAATGATGGTAATACACCCATTATTACGTGAGATATAGCAGCAAAAGCCAAATCTTTTGATGGGAAAGGCGATAAATGTAATTTATGCCTTATTGAAAAATTAGTCATCGTAGAACACTTAATTTATCTTAGCTTATTAAACAAGAGAAATGAACTGATGGTTTAAATGTAAGCATAAAAATTAATATCTTTTGAAATCTGTTCATCCAGATTAATTTTCAATAAAAATTATAAGCTTTCACTTTCTTAGGTTTTAAGTAAAATTTTAGAAAAAAAAATTACCAAGTAGCCCAGTAATGTCCTTTTATGTTTACTATAAAATTAATATTCTGAACTTCAAAAATGGTTAAAATTCTTCCCTTCATGTTCATTTCAACGCTGAACCCTATCAAAAACTTTTCCACAAAACCATTTAACATATATCTACATAAATTTCAGAAAATTTATCAATTATGGCTTATTTTAAATCCGGAATGGTCTTCGGTTTGAGCCTGTAAACAAGATCTTTCATTTCATCCCCAGAAGGAAAAAAAGTCTTGAGAGCACGCAAATCTCTATGTTCGCAGATATGGGCTTTTAGAATTCGTGATGTCTCAACGATATAAATTCTTTTACATTCTAAAAGTAATGTTCTTCGATGGTGTACTAACGTTGGATTCAACAAGTTGAATGCACGTGAAACACGAATAACCAATGAAAATTAAACAGAAAAGTAAAAATACCCGAATTTCTTTCTTTTTCTCTATAGGGCATTCACAGATAAAGCGTTAAAAAGGTTAAAAATGTTAGATTGGTAACCGTTTCCTTTTTATTCTTTATTACATCACACACACACACACACACACATATACATATATATATATATATATATATACACACACACACACATTATTGGGACTATATTTATTACAACGTTTCGGCCGTTGTACGCTCCGGCCTTCTTCAAGTGGTTGGAATGACGAACTGAACGCTTTATTTCGCTCACTGGGGTAAACTGTTCTAGTTCCACATGCCAGATTTTTAATAGATATCAGTTATCTCCGGTTAATTTCCCTCTGAAAGTTCTCCACTGCCTTAACCGGGTATTGAACTCACACTGTTTTGGGTCCTGTCACTGGATCTAACCAACGCCTTTATCCACTGTGCCATGTGTCCCTGAAGAACCTGAAAAACGCCGGAGCGTACAACGGCCAAAACGTTCTAATAAATATGGAGATAAAGATGCGGGCATAAGTCCGAATAATGTAAATAGTATACATACTACCTCATCTCAGAAATATATATATATATATATATATATATATATATATATTACGATAAACGTGCAATCAATTTACAAATTCATGAATTATTCACACAAAAACTAATGCAAAGGTTAATAACAAAAACAATAACTCATTTCCAATAGCATTTTCGGATACAACAATACATATATTTTCGTTGTCCTCTTATTACTAAGATAAAAAACAAGAACAACATCTATTCTATACCTGAAGATGTCTGTAGGAAAAGACGAAAGCTTGTAGTAAAAATAAGAACTAATACGGCAGAAATTTATAGAAACAAGGATCATTTCATTCATAACGGATTCGGAGGTTTTTGTATATTATTTGAATTGTTTGCGATGATGGATTTCTCGCCAATTAAATCATTAACCTTTGCATTAGTTTTTGTGTGAATAATTCATGAATATATATATATATATATATATATATATATATATATATATATATATAAACAGCGGCTCACATGCAAGATCTGAAGTACAGTGAAGCAACATTATTTAGGAATTCACATGCCACTTAAGGAACTGTGTTCATGCTTAAATCAAATTCATGAATAATTATATTGGTCATACCATTACATGCTTATCGAAAAGACTCACGTGTTACACCTCTCTGATCATAGCTCAATTATGATCCATTTAAACACACATGGAAACATACCAATCCTCATCTCGTAGACATTAAAAGGATAATCCACATGGAAAAAAAACTAAAACTAATGGAAGTACTAATATTAAAATAATAAACAAGAAAAAAATACATTAACTATTAACACGGCCACAATGACTTCCAAATCTAAGCAAAGTATTAAGAAACAGGCAAAGAGACAGGGATGTAAAATAAAATAGAGAAAAAAAAAACATGGTCGCCAGCCACCATGATTAATCACGTGATATCTTGATCTATGTCACGGAAAGATGTCACTCATAACAAAGAACAGGAAGCTGCAGATAGCCATCATCTATAGCCTGAATGGATATGACATTTTTTTATCTGTTTAGATATTTTTCCGTCCTGAGGGTGTCGCCTTGATGTGGCAGGACGGCTTGCGTGCTTTAACGACCTCCAGAGCTATGTAGCTCGGGGTTTCGACCCTTAGCAGGTCCAACGAAGCTCAACAAGTCTGTCGAGTAAGCGCCAGACGAAAGACAACTTCTGACCCTCCAGGATGTGGATTGTGCAGTAGACTGATAACGTACTTAAATAAAAATAGCTTGTTACAAAAACCTCACAATGTGCTGACCGTGGAAAATATACCATTCCTATAACTCAATATGCCTACATAAAAAATCCGTATATTCCGTTAAAAATAAAAATCATCCTTAATGATGGCGACAAGAATAGACGAAAGTGCTAGGATATGCAGAACATTTGGACAATTTTCACCCAGTTTAAGTCCAGAAAAGAAAACACATACGAACACAAGAAATATGAAAAAAAAAAACAAAAACCCTAATCGCAGTACCTTGTCAGTTGTCTTTAATGAAACCTGTAAGAAAGAAGGATTGCTGCCCAAACACACCCTTATATATATATATATATATATATATATGAAGAAATATAGTTTTAAGGTTTGCTATATTTATGGTATAAAGTGCTCAATATCAGAGATAGAGATTTTATATATATATATATATGTGTGACAATCTATGTTATGTTAATTTTCTAGCCATTTAAGTATCTTTATCTCTCGTCGGACGTTTTATTTCTTATAATCGAAATGGTTAGTTCGTTATATATATATATATATATATATATTAACCTGTAGTTCTATCGATCTATATGTGTTTTTTAATCAACATATACATTCTGCTGGCCCTATCAGTCGTTTAAATTTCTTCTTTTTTTTTTTTCTATTCAATTTTCAATGATCTTTCGATAAGTTTTTATTTATTTGCAAAAGTTTTGTTTGCTGAAGATCGTTTCTATTCTAACAAAAGCCAAGCTCAGGAAGAAAAATATACGAGCGGTCAAATATAAATGATTAAAAAAAAATTGAATAATAAAAGAAATCAAAAGAAAAAAAATATTAAAGGATTTATCAAAGGAAGAAGAAAATGCAGTCAAAGAAAGACATGCACAAGATAGAAAAAAATCCAATAAAAAGAAGACGCGAAAATACAAAACTGAATAAGTTAATAAAGAAATAAGAAAAAACTGAAATCAGAATAAATAAAAGAAAAAAAAAAACAGCCAAAAATTCCATTTTCTATCAAAGAAAATAAACAACAATAAGAAATGTAATAATAATTGTGACGTCAGGAATAATGAAGATTTTCAACTTGCCGCCATTTTTTCAACAATAATAACAAGGTCAGAGAATAAAAGAAAAAAGATTTCATTTAAAATAGGTAAAATTATTGCGAAGACGGTCGAATTATTTATTGAACAGAGAGAAGTTTATTTTTCAGATATATTTGAATAATTGAAAAGACACAATAAAACGAATCTAATGATATATTATACAAACACATTCACAAATACATACACACACACATATATATATATATATATATATATATATATATAATGTATCTAAACGATTTCTTTGTGGGACTCAAACAAAGTGAAAATATTTCTTTAAAATAAAAATAGACATAGAAACATATCAATGTTGAAAGGTTGATTTTCATATTAGCTTTCTTGGGTAACATCTGTTGTCTAATAAATTGAAGAGTTCCTCTGCTTTGGCGTTTGCCTGTTTCTCGTCAACACAGGGGTCGCTGTTCGAACTTAGACAACATAAATAAATAAATAAATAAATATATAAATATATATATATATATATATATATATATATAAAATGAGGTTGATCATCAATGGATGAAACCAGGCATTCAATATGTGAAAGATTGATGAAAGACAATTTCACCAGTTCTGGGAAGTACTTTAACATGGAAAATATGACACCGCAATCCGAAGAAGCAAGTCATCCACAAACCAAGCAAATACTTAGAATCGAATATTTCGTTAGAAATGAAGAAAAAGAGTTGCTGAAATGATATGTAATATTAATCCTCCATAATCACAGTGAAGGCGGGACAATTTCTTCACAATTTATAGGGGTACATGGGGAATATAACAGTAAACGCTAGACTTGGACAGGTTACGACTATAGTGACCGAGGAAACATCCTCTTGAGATGTCTGTTGCACCATGCAGCAATTCGTTGGAAGAAGCTGCTTGCGTCGAACTTACATGGAATATGAAGGGAATGTGGTTGGTTGATTTATTCGAACTATTGACCTCATCTGTTATTGCTATAGATGCTGTTATAAACTCGGCGTTTCGGCCAAGTACCCTTTGCCATCTTCAGGTGCCCATTATTTTCAGATGTGATGAATCATCAATATTCCGGGATTTATTCGAACTGTTGTTCTCATCTGTGATTGCTATAGATTAAAGGCTCCAAAAATACACCAAGGGGCCGGTGACATCGTAAATATAGGTGTCCATGCTTAGAATATTGCTACCACATATAATCCGGTGCCCCTGTTATTTATCTGGAGCACGTTGATAAAATCCGAAGAATAATCAGCAATATTGTTGGCCCTGAACTGGCGGCTCGGCTTCTGTCACTTTCCCACCGCCTTAAGGTTACCTTCCTGTGTCTTTTCTATAAATACTTGTTTCTCCAAATATTTTTTTATCCCCACGCCTCACAGACAATGAATTGTACATAGGGGACTAGTTATGCCTTTCATAGATACATTGCTGTATTATGGTGGATGTGGTAGCAATGTAAGAATGCGTTATTGTGGTGAAAGGATTTTGTTGTATGTTTCGGTCATTGTTTCTAGCTAAGCTAAGTTTAACGTTAAGACCGAAGAAGACTGTCCTTTTATCCATGCCCTGTTTTGTCCTCTTGCCAAATTTTGTAAATAGATAACAAATAAATATCACTCTTCTTTATGATACCTAGACCATGAAATTAAGCGCAGTACTAGAGAAAGCACGACGGAGTAATAGATAGCGGCTCGGATTGAGGAATCAGAGCCGAGTCGTGCTAATACCCTTGGGAAAGGTATATATCTTTCTTCTCAAGCTATGGGTAAATAACAGGATGGTTTCTATATCCTTGGGTGGCAACTGGTCTACCGCATAATGAAATGGCAACCTACTGTGGGAAAAATGTGTCTTGTCAGTCATGTATCGAAAGATACATGATCGCCTACGCGTGTATCACGCATGACACACAACGAAATGACTAGACTGGCGTCGAGATCTCATCAATTTACGGTTGAGCTAGCTAGATGTAGCCGTAAATTCTATGCTGACAATTTATTTTCTCGTATTTTTTGCTTGTAGAACTCAGTTCCGGCGCCATGCTTTCCAGACAACTTTAATCTGCAAAAATTGAAATGCAATGTCAATCGCTATCTAATGCACTCCTCTGGCTACTTTCTTTTTTCGCTCATTAATAATGTTTCTGTTCCTAAGTCCTCCACAACCTGTAAACCCAGGAGTGCTACTGTCTGTACTGCCTTGCTTGGAATGGTGCCGATTAGAAAAAAAAAAAACCCAAAAAAACCCCAAAAGATATTTAATTTAGAGTGGCTCTCATTCTAATGGTTGTTAGTTTAAAATCAGGGCCTGAATTTTTTGTCTTAAATAACAATCATGGAAATTATTTTTTCTTTGATATAATCGTCGTCATCATTAAAAACAAAAAAATATTTCATTTATTTTTCAGCATTTCGAATTATTAGAAATATTTACACTGTTTATCCAAAGTTAATAATATGAAGAGTAAATTTATGACTTAATATGGCGAGGAGAGAGAAAAAATAGAAAAAAAAAAAAAATGAAGGCCAAAGAAATAAATGAAGAGAAAAAGACGTGGAGGAAGGAAAGAGAAGGCCATGTGATTTCCCTTATAAATGATTTTTGCTTTATTTCATATCCCTCGGTATAATTCTCTATTTTTAATTTGTTTTGCTTTTGGATTTAAAATATATTGTTTGATTCATTAATGAAACTACCAACTTTATTGTTTAAGCGTTTATTGGAAATAAATTCGTCGCCTTACTATTTTTTTTTGTTTATATATTTTATGAATTATTAATTATATTATTAATACGCCAGAATTTGTAAATTTAATGAAGTAAGGTGATCAACGAATAATGAGAGAGAAGAGATGGAGTAGTTATGTCCCTTGGTTGATTTATTTTTTTAGTTTGGCGAAGACAATTTATTAAATTCTAATAAATTTTTACTCGGTGTGGAGCAAAATTATGAGAGTGATTAAAGAAAAAAAGAGATATAAATATTTATTTGCTTTAATTTATTTTTTCCGTTTTAAATTAAAAGGAAACACGCAAAAGACCCTGGAAAATCAGAAATATAGTGCCAATAGATGGCGCCCTTGTGGAAAGAACTGGAAAATTGAAAATTCTGTTATGTTCTCTACAGGAGTAATAAAGAATGTTTATGTTGGAAATTATCTCGGTTACAACCAAGAAAGAATTTGGCTTTTTAAATCATTAAAAGTAAAAATATGCATAGAAAGCTAACACGTGTCATACCGTTAAAAATGACGGTAAGATTTAAGTAATTTTCATTGGTTACATTTTCTCATGACGTAATCAAGAATTTTTATCGAGACAATTCTGATAGATCTTTAAATTTTGTGAATTTAAGCGCATTAATAGATTGTCGGCAAGGTCACATCATTTTACAATTAAAATGGCTAGATGTAACCGTAAGTTCTATGGAAAGAGTTTCTTCTCTTGCACTTCTCGCTTGTGGAACTCTCTTGCGGCTTCTTTCTTACCAGTCAAATTTGATCTTCAAAATTTAAAGGCAATGTCAATTGTAATCTTCTGTGTTCTTAATTCCTGTTCTTTTATTTTCTTCTCTCCTTAATGTTATTCTCTAAAACTCAGTAACCCCTTACATCTTAGTGGCTTTATTGCATTAATTCGGGTGAAATGATTAAAAAAAATTAATTATCACAGATCTTAATGCGTCACCATGGATTGGCTACAGACTTCAACTTCAAATGAAATAAAAAAAAATTGCATTTTGGTATTTTACTATCAGTTGTAATAATTCTATAAAAATAAACATTTATTTAAAAACATATTTCCAGACAAGTAAGAAAAAAGAGTGAGGTCAAATTCTTTAATATATTGTTTGTTTATTAGCTCCTTTCCATTTGTTATTGTTTTATAGCCTGGTTATTAAGTCACTGATTGCTGAGACAGTAATAGTTGACTGATATCATATTTCCTCAACACTACCGAAGTCATACTCTTTATCCCAACCCTTCAGTCGCCGACATAAAGCTGATACGTTATTTGATTTTCGTCGATTTTAAGTAGGGTTAAATTTATTTTCAAAACTGATGGTGAACATCTCTGTTGTAATGTCCATATAAACACTCTGATGATGGCTCATGTGAGCCGAAAACTTAGACCGAAGAACAGCATAATATATATATATATATATATATATATATATCCAAATGTTGGGCAGTTTTTGTCTTTCTCCCGAAACTAAAGCCACTATACAAAGCTTAGAAGGACTCATGACCAAACATAAAAGACATTCGTTGTCTGTTATATTTAACTATATATATATATATATATATATATATATATAAAGTAATAGAAATTATAAGAGGATTTGAGATAATCATAATTAAGTAATTCGTCAGTCTAGAAGAAACCTCAACAGAATGCAGAAAACACTGGGCGGCCGTTTTCGTCCTATATTTGGGATTTAACAGCAGTGCGCATCCACTGCCGAGAATTGAAACCCGGACAGTTTGAGGCTAGCGTCATGCCAACTGTTAAAAACGGGCCTCGGTAACGTAGCGGTAAACAATATAAACGATATAACGCCTCTCTTCACATATTCCGTGGTGGAACTCATCCAAGTTTCCCTTACCAATAGGACTGTGCCCCACGAGCCAAGCCTACTAGCCCCAAGCCACTCCATCCATATATATATATATATATATATATATATATATATTAAGAAATGGACAAAGTCCGACAATTTATTTATTAAAGACATTTTTATGTTTAACGTTCTTTTTATAGACACAAGTATTTAAATAAATGTTCTGTTTATAATAAACAGTATTAAATAACATTTACTGGCCTGTAAGTCCGAGAAATTTTCCATAGAAAATAATTATAAATTTATTATAAACAGAGCATTTACTTAAATACTTGTATCTATAAAAAGAACGTTAAACATAAAAATGTCTTTAATAAATAAATTGTCGGACTTTGTCCATTTCTTAATATATGACGTCATTTGTTTACATTTGATACGCCATGAGCACTTATGAATGTACGAGATTCATGGAAGATTGAAGTTTATAAGCAGTAAATTCAACCTTGCCAACCGAACGATCCTTTGTGTCCGAGCGGTCAAGGCACGTCAGCGTAATGACGGTTCCGTATAGGATGCAGGTTCGAATCCTGTCAAAGGACGAATATTTTCTATGAAAATTTCTCGGACATTCAGGCCGGTAAATGTTATTTAATACTGTTTATTATAAACAGAGCATTTACTTATATACTTGTATCTATAAAAAGAACGTTAAACATAAAAATGTCTTTAATAAATATATATATATGTGTGTGTGTGTGTTTCTTTCAATAAATATATCCTTTATGTTGAATCTAAACGCAAAAGCATTAAGAAACCCTTGCTTCATTTCTCAGTTCTAAAATATAAATCTTATTCTTTGACTGCGACACATTTCAACGTCTACAATAAATGTTAGCAGGTCTGTTCGTCTTGTCAGCTACGGGAAAAGACCAATCAGAAGTCAAGTCGGTGGTCCGTTTGGTTTTCGTGCATGCGTGAGAGTTTCTCCCAAGATCTTCCCGCGAAAATCCCACTCACGTGACAAGGCGTGTCGTTGCCCGCAACTTCTTAGTGGACAATTACCGCACGTGTGATTCCTGCTCGTCGGTCTGTTGTTTTTAATTTTTTATTTATTTTCACTTACTTTGCTCTGACAAATATTAAAAAGATTTTTTTTTTTTTTGCTTTTAGTATTTTTATCTCTCTACTTTTATTCCTAATGTCTGTCCTGTCTTATTGTTTCCTAATTGAATAGATTGGACGACTACTACTACTGCAATAATAATAATAATAATAATAATAATAATAATATTGATGGTAATGATGATTATGATAATAAAAATGATGACGATAATGATGATAATAATAATATCTGCTTTCCCCGCCCTGGGGAAGACGATTATATTCTAAAATAGAAAGTCTCAGAAAGTGGGCGTTCTAACCACTCGGCCACGCGTCCTTATAATTCATTACATATATATATATATATATATATATGTAACTAAACACATGTAATTTCTTTCAAGCGGTTAAAATTATGCATTTTAGGTAACCAGTTGCGCTATACACAGATAAACGGTTATCAGGTCGCACTATACATGAAGTTGACTTATACACAAATATATACAGTAAACTGAATTTATTTCCCAAACTGCATGAATTTAAACGTGCTATTAGGTAGGCATCTCAGTCACACCCGGTTACTATTGAAACTGTTAAATAGCCGTCTCTTCTACTCCAATAACTCCATGCCTTGCACTTCCCGTCTTTGGAACTCCCTTCCTCTTACTTGCTTCCCTGATAGCTATGACTTCCAAATATTCAAATGCAATGTCAATCGATATATTTAGATACCTTAATCTAATTCCCCATCCTTCTCTTCATCCTTTCCTCTATCACGGCTCTTTAATCTTGCTCCCACTCTCTGTAACCCCTTGCGTGCTAGTGGCACTCCCACCTTGCTTGGTGTGAAATGCTTATATATATATATATATATATATATATATATATATATATATATATTGCTTATAATACAGGTTGCATAATTTTCGACGTTCACTTATTTAAAATTTGTTCGTGCTTAAGGACGTCATTGCATGACGTAATTAATAGGAAATTGTTCTGCTTTATATTAGATAATTAAATAAAAATGAACATTATTTCACCACAAGCAAGGCGATAAATCCACTAAGACGCAAGAGGGTTACCAAGAGTGAAAGAGTGGGAAAAGACATTTAGGGGAGAAGACAATAGAAAAACAATATTCAAGGAGAGACAAGATTGACACTGCATTTAAAGTTTTGAAGATCGATATAGAATGGAAAAGAAGTTGGTAGAGAGTTCCACAAGCGTGAAATGCGAGAGAAGAAACTGCTAGCATAGAACTTACGGTTATACCGAAAAAAATAAATAGTAAAATGATTAGACATTGCCGCTAAACTAGTACTGAGCTTAAATTTCATAATGTCTAAATACCAATGAAGAAAGCTCATGAGAACAATGCCATAAAGTATTTATAGAAAAAGCACAGGGAAGCTTTGTTACAGCAGTGGGAAAGGGACTGAATCCGAGATGCCAGATCAGGACTGATAACATTGAAGAATCTACTTTGGAGATTTTCAAGAATGTTTAAATATATAACAAAAGCATCGAGTCAGATGTGACATTAGTACTCGATGAATAGTAGACTTAAAAATGTGTGACACAGTTTCTGGCGAGACAAATTATCTCGGACGACACAGTGAACCGCCTTTCCTAGCAATGGATCTAGCAATAGATTCAATAAAAAAACTTTTCACTTCATGCCAGCAGAAAATGTTAGCCGGAAAAAAAAATTATCTTGCCGAGGAAAGGAGACAGAACAATAAATGAACAAGAATTAAAAAAAAAAAAAACAGAAAATGGCGATTGACATTGCATTTGCATTTTTGAATCTCAAAGTTGCCCGGGAAGCAAGAAACCGGAAGTGATTACAACTAGCGAGAGAAGAAACTGTTAGGATATAACTTTTTTTCTATCTAGCCATTTTAACTGTAATATGATGAGACCTAGCTGCCAATCTAGTACTACCCTTAAATTCTTAAAGTCGAGGAAAAATCATCACAACAATTGCCATGAAAGTATTTATAGAAAAAGCACAGGTAAGCTACATTAATGCGGTAGAAAATTGATTGAAGCTGAGATACAAGATCAGGACCAATAATATTGCAGATTCTTCTTTGGAATTTATCTAGAATCTTTAAATGCATAACAAAAGCAACAGACCAGATTTTACAGCAAGATCCAATGCATGGAAGAATGGTAAACGTTTAAATATCTGAGATAGATTAGATTCTGGCGTCTAAAATCCTTCAGCATGATACGGTGAGGCAATTCTCGTAGATCAGCACTAGCAATTGATTCAAAATAACCTTTCCATAGCGTAAAACTTTAGCCATAGAAAGAGCAGTGAGCCACTCACGTGGAGGTTAGCATCAGCCATGCTAAGGAAAGCCCCCAAATGTTTCACTATGACAATTAAAAAAGAGCAGTTTCGTTTTGGAAGCGTTAAATATATATATATATATATATATATATATATATGTGTGTGTGTGTGTGTGTGTATGTAATCTGTTGGTATAATCCAGGCCAGTCCTATTAACACAACATAGAATTTCAAATATGTTAAAATTGACTCACAAAAGAGCGCTCAATGTTTATTTTCATTAAACAGAGCAAATTGTCTTTAAAAATGGAATTAAGATATCATTAGTTAATAACCATTTTCACTTACGAATTTAAAAAAAAATTAAAACTCGTAAGTGTAAACGATCATTAACTAAAAGTATCTTATTTCCAATTTTAAAGAGTGTGTGTGTGTATATATATATATATATATATATATATATATATAGTGTGTGTGTGTGAGAGAGAGAGAGAGAGAAAGAGGTATTTTAGGCAGCAAGACTAAACAAGGTTGATTTAAAAAAAAAAAAAACAAGTTCTGTCTGTATTTTTGTTTTTTAGTCAAACTTTTTGGGATATATATATATATATATATATATATATATATATATATATATATATATATATATATATGTGTGTGTGTGTGTGTGTGTGAATCCAGAATTACAAATCTTGTCTTTTCGATATTAGGAAAATCTGAGTAAACCTTGACAAACAAAAAAGCACAAACACACACACACACACATATATATATATATATATATATATATATATATATATATATGTTTGTATGTATGTGCGTAACCTTTTGTCTATTTTTGTTATCATGAAGTCCCACTAGTAAAAGCAGAATTATTTCTTTCTCCGTATCATTTCCCGCATTTTTTTATTTTTATTATCCGTTCCTTTTTATTTGGCCGGGGAGGAAAGGCAAGGATGGTCGAATGAAACTCGAGGGAGTCACAAAAAGTCTCGTCTAAATATTTTGCGTCGAACGAGGGTCGGCTTCGATTTGTGAATTGGAAATGGCCGTAGAAAACAAAGTGACAGAAAGTGTTGATGGCCTGATAAGCCAAGGTGGTTGCAGAGGGATTCTTTGCAAAGAAAGCGATCAATAAGGAAGCAACGGTGGCGGGAAAGGAGAATGAATGAAATGACGAAAAGGAAGTAAGAGAAGATAACTCTAGAAAAAAAGATAAGAAAATTATAAAAATTAAGGAAAATGAGGAAAAAATCGAAAAATATCGTGGAAAATAAAAGCGATAAAATACAAAAGAATGAAACAGAAAAAAATTAATGAAATGAATATAAAAAAAGGGGTTGATGATAAAAACTTAAAGAGAAAACGTAAAATCAAGAGAAGTAAAAAAAGGTGAAATAATGGTGAACGTATATAAAGGAGAAAAAAGGGAGAAGTTTATGGAGAATATGTAAAAAAAGAAAGAAAAAACAGGAGATATTATAAGAGAGGGAAAAGAGAAATTAAAAAATGAAGAGAAAAAAGAATGGACATAAATAAATATAAATGAAAGAAATAAAGCGTAAGAAAGAGTAAGAAAAAAAGAAAGAGTAAGAGAATATGAAAGAAGAAAAAGGAGAGATTCAAAGAAAAGAAAAAGAGAGAGAGAAAGAAAGAAAAGAAAATGAAGACAAGAGAAGGAAGGAAGGAAAGAAAGAGAGGCGGCAGAGAAGACAGAAAAAGAGAGACGGAAGAGAAGACAGAAAGAGAGAGAGAGACGTAAGAGAATATAGAAAGAGAGACACGGAAGAGAATCGGAAAAGAAAAAGAGATGCAAGAAAAGTAGGAGTAAGAAAGAAAGGAAGAAAAAAAAAAGAAGACGAAAGGAAGAGACGAAAAAAGGAACGAAAAAAGAAAAGAGACGAAAGGAACGAAAAGAAAGAAACGGACGAACAGATAGAAAAATTATGAAATGATGGAAAACGAATAAAAAAAAAAGAGACGAAAGGATAAAAAAGAAAAGAAATGATTAAAGGGACATTAAGGAAAAAAAGTCAAAATTAAAAAAATATGGAAGAAAAGAATGTAAAAGAAATAAATAAATAAAAAAGAATCTACAGAATGACAGACATAAGAAATCTTCAAAAAAATCAGATAGAACGGAGAATAGAAAAACCAAACAAAGAAAAAGAACGAAAGTTCAGTACAGAGAGAAAAAGAATGGAATCGAGCAGACGATACAGAATAATATAAATTAAAAATATAGAGAAACAAATTAAAAAAAAATAAATTGGAATGATTGGGTGACGTTTCTTCAATGCCTTGGAAATTGGTAATATTTGATGTTCGTAGAGTTTTCCCTTTTACAGGAGAATATATATATATATATATATATATATATATATATCTCAAGGTTATTAGTATATACACTGACAAAGAAAAATGGCAGGTGAAAGTACAACTACATAAAAATCTGATTACATATGGATAACTGTCATGTTTATCAGTTCACATATCAACAGAAATAAATTCCTATATATATATATATGGGCGAGTGTAGACGTATGTAAAGTATAAATTCATCTATAGCTTGTATATATGTGCAGAGTATATATATATATATATATATATATATATATATATATATATATACAGTACACATTCTGAGACAAACACACGAATACATGCAGGCAAATGTATCTAAATATGCGGATATATGAAACTGCGATTAATTCAAACGTAGATAGTGATCGTATAAAAATCAATATATATATATATATATATATTCACTCTTATCTTAGCAAAACGAAATCATATCTTGATGTCTTGCATATTAAACTTTTAAAACATGCACATTTCAGTGGCTTCTAAGAAGGAATTGTTACAAATGACATATTTACATTTTATCTTGTCAAAATATTAATGCATTTGTTTTTAAGGAATCTTTAAAGCAGACTGACATCTAAAGACTAGTATCTGTAATATAAAACGCAATAAAGTCCTGAGAATATACCAAATGAAACATTCCGATAAAAAGGCCAAAAGAATGCATTGTAAAATAGGGCAGTTTGATTTTTTAACTTTTTGTAAAAAAAATCATCATTGCACTCAACGAAAAATCTGTGGTTTGATGTGGTAAGTACTGCCACTAAAAATAAGATTTGTAGCTTTTACCAACTTTTGAGGATTTAGTTTTAATATCGTCTGAAAATGTACACTAATTTCAACAGGGTTTTTGCTTAGGAACTAACTTAAACATTTTTACTATTTCAAAAATAAATCCAAATAACGTTGATATCTTTTGCATTTTATACATTGCATAGAAAATATATTCAAACCAGAATTCTAATTATGAATCTCCACAAGCAAAATAAATTTTTTTTTTACTGTATTCGATAAGTAAAAACTGTGTAAAAAAAGAATTGTCAAAAATTTAAAAAAAAGGCTACTTAGTGAAAAAGATTTGATAGGTCATTTGTTTGATCATAAAAACAAAAAAAAAGTAGATAAAAGTGTATATAACACCATAATACTACTGGGAACAAATTGTAAGATAAAATGTTTTAAATTTGCATTGTTTATTGAAAATCTCAATAAAACTACTGCACTGTATAACATATTACTATATTATTATCGCTAAATTGTTCAGTATAATTTTCCTTTTGAAGTAAAGGAAGGTCTTATTTGATGGCACAATGATTTAGTAATAATGTGTTTAGAGCATGCATCTTGTCCATATACAATTTGTAAAGCTTCAGTAAGTTATCAATTTTATAAAGTTCTGCTAGATGTCTTTCACGGATAACCGGAATTAAATTCCAATGCTACGATTTGGAACCTAAACAATGTTTAAACTGGTTTCTTCAAAAAACGGTAAAGATTTGGAAAAAGTATTTTGTGTCATTATTTATCATGTCAGTTTTAAATATTGACTTAAATTCCTAATTTCTGCAGGTTTCTGCGTACAAACTGACTTCAAAATTTTACTATTTCAAAAACAAATCCAAATAAAGTTGATATCTTTTGTATTTTATATATTGCATAGAAAATAAATTCAACCCAGAATTCTAATAATGAATCCCCACAAGCAAAATATGCAATTTTTTTTTTACTATATTCGATAAGTAATTTAGTTTTTAGTCTTACAAAAAAAAGACTATTCAGATTTGCTAGATGATCTGTTAGATCATAATTAATTAAAAAAATTGATAAAATATATATAACACAGTAAGACTCTTATGAACAAATTATAAGATAAAATGTTTTAAATTTGCATTGTTTATAGAAAATCTCACTAAATCTACTGCAGTGTATAACATTAAATCATAATATAGCTAAATTGTTCAGTATAATTTCCCTTTGAAATAAATGAAGGTCTTATTTACTAAATTATTGTGCCATCAAATATGACCTTAATTTACTTCAAATAAGAGGTGGTTCCACGCTCCTCAAAACCTCCCTATCAGAGGCCTTGTTGTCGGATGCAGTTTCCCAGGACTCGGATGTAGTTTATGGGTTATTTAATGCCGAAATCTAAATATTGTTAATGCAATTTTACGCCTTTAACTACAGATATTTTGTGCGTCTTGGGTATGACAATAAACTACATCCAACAGCAAGGTATCCGATCAGGAGGTTTTGAGGAACATGGAACCACCTCTTAATTTTTTGTATTCCCTGGTCTACCTGTCAGAATCCCAGCTATCGAAAATAGATACCCCCAAAAGAGGTCAAAACACTATGAAACTATAAAAATAGGTTTTAATATGAGCAATACTTTTTTTTTTTAAATTATTACCAGCAATAAAAATCTTGTTGGCATTAAATAACCTATTAAGGTTGGTATATCGTAAAACAAACCAAACAGATATTTTGTATAGAATTTTTACGCCTTCAGGATAAACGGATTTTTTTTTGATAAATAGTTTCCAGATAAAATATATTGTTGATAAATATTTAAAAAAATGGCATTGCTGGTAATTTCAGTATCAAATGTACTGCTGGTAATTTTAGTATAAAAATTTTAGCTTTGTAATGTCACTTTACTATAAAATATATTCTTGGTATTTTTAAAAATAATAAAATGTATTTTTTTCCTAAGTGTTTGACCCCAAGCAAGGCTGGAAGCCACTAGTACGCAAGCGGTTACAAGGAGCGGAAGCAAATAGGAGTGATAGAGGAAAGGATGGAGAGGAGGATAGGGGATAGATCAGGGCATCTGGAGATGTCGATTGACATTACATTTGAATAGTTGGAGATTATAGCTATCAGGGAAACAAGAAAACGGGAGGGAGTTCCACAGGCGAGAAGTGCGAGACATGAAGCTATTGGAGTAGAAGAAACGGCTACATTTCTGCCATTATTTTATTATAAAATTGTATTTTTATGCATATGTTCTTTTGATTTTCTTTTTTAGTGGCGTTTATTATTTACTTATAGCTGAGAGCCTAACAGGTGTTACCACCCCGGGTCAAGGTGGACTATGGAACAGCAGTAATTAAGAGGTGGTTCGACGTTTCTCAAAACATCCAATCTCCTGATCAGATGCCTTGTTGCCGGATACAGTTTACCGTACCACCCAGAAATACCGTCTACAAAATAGTATGACATTAATGGCAATGGTATCTTCATCTAGCTGATGTATAACCATTATGTGGGAGGTATTTCTAGGAGATATACGGAGAAGTTATTTCTGCTGCACCCCGTATAAAAATTGTTTCCGCACAAGGGAAAATATCGGACTCCAAGAATGAAAAAAGCTATATTTTATTTTTATTTCTTTTTTCTTTTCTACAATTCTATTCAATTTTTTGGCTGCTTTCCTTTTCTCCCGCCTCCGATACTCATTCATTCACTTCTCGTTCCAATCTTGATGCGTTAACGTCCCAACGTTATCTAATGATGTCAAAACCAGTTTCCCGCCTTTTCTCATAATCACCATCACCAAACGTCTCAAGATGGCCGCCATAGTAAAATGTCCGTTGCCATGTTCGGTTGATTTACGCGGCCATTTTCGGCCGGACAACGGGTCCTGGGAATAAAAGAGAAAAAGGAAAAAAAAAAACAAAAAACAAACAAACAAAAAAAAAAAAACAGGCCAAGACTAAAACCCACACCGAGCCCCAGCATTTTTCTAATCGGACAGACAGAAAAAGAAAAGAAAAATTGCCAATAAAACTATCGAGAATTATTAACACAATTCGCCTCGTATATCGACGGATTTTCTTCCTTTAGGAAGAAGTAAAAAAAAAAAAAAAAATCAGACAGAAAAAATCTTTTGGTTGTCTCTATCGAAATCTAAGATCAGCTATGAATCTTAGAAGCCTGTTTTCACACAGTGGGGAGGATTTTTTCTTCGTCATTCGCGAGAATGAAAAAAGAAAAATAAATAAATACTGTGCATGCACAAAGCTTTTGTTTTCTTGCCTAGGGAAAGGGTCTTTGGGGAAACGATGAAAAAAGGCTTTAGGCTTAGGGTTCTATCTTTAACATATTACGCTACTGTACAAGATTCTCGTGGGTTTTATCCCTCCCTTTTTCACTCTCTTTCCCCCAACAGAACGTTTATTCGGGAAAACAAGCGAGAGGAGAAACAAAAGATATTTTTTAAATCATAATATTTCCATCGTCAAAAGGTGTGTGAAGGGCTGGCGCAAAAGCAGAGATGTGATTTTTCACTGCTAGGAAACAAAATACGGAGAAGGAAATAAAAAAAAATGAATAAAAATGGTAAAAGAGAGAAAGAAAGAAGGAAACATATTTGTAGACATATGTAAAAAAATGTAGAAAATGCTATGAAAAAACAAAGAAAAGATAATGAAAAGAAAAAAAAACAAACAATAGCAAAAAGAGAGTTGAAGAGAGAAAGAAATGATGACAACGAGGAGAGAAAGAATCGACGGCAAAGAGAGAAGGAAGAAAAGAATAACGTCATATGCCAAGTGGAGGGGGGGAGAGAAAGTGAAATGATGACAGAGAGAATGAGAAAGACAGAGAGAGTGAGGAACGAAGGAAATCAATAGAGAACGAGGAGAAAAGAAGCGAAACAGAGAGATGGGAGAAAAAGAAAGAGATGAGAAAAAGAAAAAGTAAGAGTGAGAAGAAAAAGAAACAGAGGGTACAAAAAGTAACGAAGTAAGAGAGAGGACAAAAAGGAACAAAGAAAGATAGAGGATGAGCAGAGAGAGAGAGAGAGAGGACGAAAAGTGAGAGAAAGCAGAAAATGAAACAAAGAGGGGAGAGAGAAGAAAAGAAACAAAGAGGGGAGAGAGAGGAGAAGGAAACAAAGAGAGAGAGGAGAAGGGACCAAAGAGAGAGAGAGAAAGACGAGAAGGAAACAAAGAGAGAGAGAGAGGAGAAGGAAACAAAGAGAGTGAGAGAGGGAAACAGAGAGAGGAGAAGGAAACAACGAGAGAGAGAGAGGAGAGAGAGAGAGAGAGAGAGAGAGAGAGAGAGAGAGAGAGAAAGAAACAAAAGAGAGAGAGAGGAGAAAGAAAAAAGAGAGAGAGGAGAAAGAAACAAAGAGAGGAGAGAGAGAGAGGAGAAAGAAAGAAAAAAGAGAGAGAGGAGAAAGAAACAAAGAGAGAGAGAGAAAGAAACAAAGAGAGAGAGGAAAGAGAAAAGAAGAGAGAGAGGAGAAAGAAACAAAGAGAGAGAGAGGAGAAAGAAACAAAGAGAGAGAGAGGAGAAAGAAACAAAGAGAGAGAGAGGAGAAAGAAACAAAGAGAGAGAGAGGAGAAAGAAACAAAGAGAGAGAGAGGAGAAAGAAACAAAGAGAGAGAGGAGAAAGAAACAAAGAGAGAGAGAGAGGGGAGAAAGAAACAAAGAGAGAGAGGGGAGAAAGAAACAAAGAGAGAGAGGGGAGAAAGAAACAGAGGGGAGAAAGAAACAAAGAGAGAGAGGGGAGAAAGAAACAAAGAGAGAGAGAGAGAGAGGAGAAAGAAACAAAGAGAGAGAAAGGAGAAAAACAAACACAAGCATAACGTGAAGAGGATAGAAAGAATGACTTCCTGACAAAGAGAAGAGGAGAGAAGGTGGCAATGAGATAGTGAAGTGGGTAATAAGAAACAATAAGAGAAAAGCGGATGCACAGATGAAAGGAGTCGGAAAGAGACAGAGAGAGAGAGAGAGAGAGAGAAATAGGCAATGGCAAATAGAGAAGAAGGATGAGAGAAACAGACGACAACAAAGAAAAGAACAGATAAGCAGATGAAAGAGAGAGGTGTAGAAAAAGAAACAATAGACGTAGAGAGAGAGAGAAGTGACACAGGTAAAAGAGAAATAAGAGATATATGTGAACAACAGCGGAAAGTAAATCTGGGATGTAGTCAGTGAAAATAGGGCAGGAAAAAAAAAAGGTCGGAGGGAAGGAGAAAGAAAGGTCGTGGCTGTGGACTGTGGGCATAAAGTGTTGACGAAAAACATTATCACCATTCGTTCAGATATGTGTTTCTATTTTTATCGCCATTATCTTTCCTCGCATCCTTAAATTATGCGACATCAACGAAACGCCAACAAGGAAATAAAATAAAATAAAAGGGCGTTCAATCTTATATTGTATGCGCATGCGTGTTTCTTCCCACCCGCCACAACGTCCATTTTTTTTCTTGAAAAGGAAGATGAAAACAAAAACAGAAAACAAAATGTCTCAACAAGACGACCCAAAAACAGATGAGGCGGACACTCAAGGGCAGAACCAACATATGGACCCAAATGATATGGACTATCCGACACCATGACTGACTGCATGCACGCGCTTTCACAGACATAGCAAAGAGCATCTTCTATCATATTTAGAAGATATATATATATATATGTGTGTGTGTGTGTGTGTGTGTGTGAGAGTGCATTTTTTATATGTTTTCATATTCCATAAGAAAACCTACACTTAAGCTGCAATCTTTTATATAAATTAAATATTCGTATAAATGTAAATATATGTATAGATTTAATATTCTTTGCGGACTTCATTAGGAGATCGACAGTTTTCAAAGACTGTGCAGCGCCAATTGTTGAAAATAGAAACTGCGTATAATCCGATCAGACATTGTAAATACACTCGTATTGGTACGTACATAAGTAGAATAGGGATAGAAAGGTGGAATTATTAACTCTAATAGTCCTGGGTATGACGATAAACTACATCCGGCAGCAAGGTCTCTGATCGAGAGATTGGAGGTTTTGAGGAGTGTGGAACCACCTCTTAATTGAAGTTGTTCCCAGGTTCATTGTGACCCAGGGTGGTAGCAATTGCTAGGGTCCCAGCGATGGGCAAATAATGAACCTCAAACACGATAAAAGTATAAAAATACACTTTTAAAGAACGATTACAAACAATAAATTTTATAGCAAAATGACTAACAACACATTTTATCTGTAGTTGAATCTATAAAACTATGTTTATAATTTCAGTATTAAATAACCCATAGAGGTGTTGATATGTCGGTAAATAAAATCAGACAGTTAATATTTCAAAACATTAATTCATATGTCATACAATTTCTTAAAGATATCAAAATGTATTTCAAAATGTAACTTCAACAAAATTATAATATAAAACACGCATAACACACCTTATATTATGTTCCTACAAACATATATATATATATATATATATATGTTTTTTTATAAGCATCTCACCCCAAGCAAGGCGAGAATGCCACTAGTATGCAAGGGATTACAGAGAGAGTGAAAGTAAGAGAAACGATTGGGTATAGGAAGAATTGAGAAAAGGATAAAAAGAAAGGTGACCAATGCATCAAAAGATGTCGATTTATATTACATTTAAATTTTTGAAGATTATAGTTATCAGGGGAGCAAGTAAGAGGAAGGGAATTTCACTGTCGGGAAGTGCGAGAGAAGAAGCTGTTGGAGTAGAAGAGGCGGTTACATTTAAATGTTTCGGCAGTAAGACGGTGGGACCGAGATGCCAATAGCACGTTTCAATTCACGCAGCAGGGGCACCCGCGAAAATAGCTCGTCAGAGCAGAGGCCATGACAATATTTGTTTAAAAAAAGACAGAGGGAAGCCACATCTTGACCTGTGAGAAAGTGACTGGAGTCACTTTCTCACAGGTCAGAACCTATCTCATTGCATATTCGTCTTTGGATTTTGTCGAGAACCTCGAGATGAACAACAGGGCACCAGACCGTATATGGCAACAGTATTCAATGCAAGGGCGATTGGTAGATTTGAAGGATGGATTCAGACGAGAAAAAAAAAACCTTCTGGCGCGATACAGAAAACCAACTTTCCTATTGATTCAATGTAGTCGTTCCACCTCATGTCAGTGGAAAACGCGAGACCAAGAAGGCGCTGGGAAGCGCTCTCGTGAAGTTGAGCATCAACCATATTGATATGAGGCAGAGAAGTTTCTCTATGGTGAGTATGCATAAAAGCTGAGTTTCATCTACCATGTATTCAATTGTGAAAGCAGAATACGTTTATTGCTTAAAAACTCACAAGAAAATTAAATTTCGTCATTAAACGATCGATAAGGAGTTGATACGCTGCTAAACAAATAAATCAAATTATTAAATCTAAGATAACAGAATAAATAGTTGTCAGCAAAAGAGGCAGTCAAAGTTGCGAGCTACATAGTAGGGATGTCAAAATCAAGTAGTTACAGAAATTTATCTCTCTGGTTAGTGTAGTAACAGACAATGGATAATGTGGCACATAAGTAAAGAACGATGTCTTTTATAAACTTAATCAAAAAGGAAAATGTCGTCAGAAACAAAGAAAAGAATGCCGAATTTCTATGTACAAATGAATCTACAGTATTCCAGAGATAGCCTTACAGCAAATTCTACGAACGGATGCTAAGAATAGTTTGTTGGTTGATTTGTATAACGGTATATCAACCCCTCATGTGTCATTTCATATAAAAAACTTAATTTTCTTGGGAGCTTTGAAGTAATCAAAATATGATATTCTGCTTTCACGGTTGATTACATGGTAGATGATACTCAGCTTTTGTGAATATACCTGTTTATGTGGCCATAATTACTAGGGGCGTTGATATGTGTGTTTTATGTTGTCGTTTTTCTGAAGTTATATTTTGGAACACAGTTTGATTTCTTTAAGAAATTATAGGATATTATATGGATTAATGTCATGAAAGAGTTCTTTCTTGTTGTTTAGTTGATTTTGTTTAGTGGCATATCAACACCTCTATAGGTTATTTAATGCCGGAATCTAAATAGTTTAAACATAATTTCGTGGTATCAAATAAATATATTTTGAATGCAATTGTACGCCTTCACCTACAGATAAAATGTATTGCTGGTATTTTTATTATAAAAATGGCGCTTAAAAAAAAAAAATGGCGCAGCCCTAAGCACTGCAGTAATACCTTAAGAACATAAAGTGTTATAGGATGTGCAAGAATTAGGAATAGAAACATTAATGGTGAGCAGAAAGAGAAGAGAGTAATCAGGTGGACAGTAGATAGCGGGTGACATTGCATTTAAGTTTTTGCTGATTAAAATTGGCGGGAAAACATGGAGCCGGAAAAGCACAAGCGAGAAATACGAGAAAAGAAACTGTCAGCATAGAACTTACGGTTGCATCTGGCCAGCTCAGCTGTAAATTGATGAGATTTCGACGCCAGTCTAGAGCTGCGCTTAAAACACAAAACTCTAGGTACCATGATAAAGACCTCACCTGAACAATTACTATGAAAGTATTTATAGAAAAAACATAGGGAGGAAACTTTACAGCGATGGGAAAGTGACTGAAGTTGAGCCTCCATATCATATATTGCTGATTCTTCTTTGAACCTTATCATAAATCTTATCTTATTATTTTTGCTTGAAAATTCATACTTTGCCGATAGCTGGGACCCTAACAGGTGCTACAACCTGGATCAGGTTGGACGTTGGAACAACAGCAATTAATAGGTGGTTCCACGCTCCTCAAATCTCTAATCTCCCGATCAGAAGCCTTGCTGCCCGGTGTAGTTTATCGTCATACCAGGACAGCTAGACGATATCATCACAGATGAAGAAGAGACTTGGAGCAAATTCTATCAATGCATACTAAGAATACTATGGACAGGTGCAACGAGAATTTCGAACCGAACCATTTATTTCGTCCACCGGGGTAGATTGTTCGAGTTCCACGTGCCATGCCTCTTCCAGATGTCTCGGTTATTTCCATTTTAACTCGGCTCACCAAATTTTTGGTTCACACTGTTGTAACCTGGTATTGAAATCACAACTATTTGGGTCTAGTCACTGGATCTAATCAACGCCTTTGTCCACTGTGTCCACGTAAGTAATCATAGTACCTCATCTTAGAGATAAATAACATTCGTTAGTTGTTACCGCAAATCTATAAAATAATTAATAAGATTGGAGGTTTTGAGGAGCGTGGAATCACCTCTTAATTGCTGTTGTTCCCAATTCCACCCTAATCCAGGGTGTTAGGCTCCCAGCTATGGGTAAAATAGTGAAACCACCCCCCAAAAAATCAAAACACTAGGAAAGTATAAAAATGCATGTTTATAGCAGAAGTACCAACAATGCATTTTTATAGTAGAATTATCAACAATGCATGTTTATAGCAAAAGTACCAACAATGCATGTTTATAGCAAAAGTACCAACAATGCATGTTTATAGCAAAAGTACAAACAATGCATGTTTATAGCAGAAGTACAAACAATGCATGTTTATAGCAGAAGTACCAACAATGCATTTTTATAGCAGAAGTACCAACAATGCATTTTTATAGCAGAAGTACCAACAATGCATGTTTATAGTAAAATTGAAGTTCTGGCATACATAGTCAAAAAATGCAATTTTCTGTGATTCATTTCTTGTAAGGAGAAGGAAGTTTTTTGATGTCGTGCTTGATTCTGTAAGATTATTTACTAAAATAAATGCAGCTAAGTAATTCTAATTTAATCATGAAACAACGTCATTTTCTTGAATTAATTATAAATTCTAAATTTTTATATTTAGATTTCTGCATTAAATAACCCATAGAGGTGTTTATATGCCGCTAAACAAAAATAATCAAACGAACTAGCCGTTTAGAGATCAAATTCTTTCGCATTCATTCCTAAATCAGAACGAGCCACAAAGACAGACGATAATTCGTCAGTTGTCCATATAATCCACTCACTCACTGTCGACAACGCAGCGGGAAATAACAGCGCCAATTTCAGTGAAACCCTATGACGTCACTAATACACGTGACGTGGCGGTCTTTAATGTGGCTTCGCTCGTAATTACCTGTTTAACCTTAAATAAACTTAAGCAGGGGCTCGTTTCTGGAAGCGCTAAGTGGTGTAAATAGGATGACAGCGTGACA